ATGATTTTTGTCCAGTCTCTTCCCACATCTCCCACACCCCTTCCCCCCCCCCCCAAGAATACTCAGTCCATTCCCTTTCTATGTCCCTGATTCTATTATAATCACCAGTTCATCCTGTTCATCAGATTATTTATTCACTTGATTCTTAGAGTCACTTGTTGATAGATACATGTTTGTTGTTCATAATTTGTATCTTTACCTTTTTCTTCTTCTTCCTCTTCTTAAAGGATACCTTTCAGCATTTCGTATAATACTGGTTTGGTGGTGACGAACTCCTTTAGCTTTTCCCTATCTGTGAAGCTCTTTATCTGACCTTCAATTCTGAATGATAGCTTTGCTGGATAAAGTAATCTTGGTTGTAGGTTCTTGGTATTCATCACTTTGAATATTTCTTACCATTCCCTTCTGGCCTGCAAAGTTTCTGTTGAGAAATCAGCTGACAGTCGTATGGGTATTCCCTTGTAGGTAATTGACTTTCTTTCTCTTGCTGCTTTTAAGATTCTCTCTTTGTCTTTTGCTCTTGGCATTTTAATTATGATGTGTCTTGGTGTGGTCCTCTTTGGATTCCTTTTGTTTGGGGTTCTCTGCGCTTCTTGGACCTGTAAGTCCATTTCTTTCACCAGGTGGGGGAAGTTTTCTGTCATTATTTCTTCAAATAGGTTTTCAATATCTTGCTGTCTCTCATCTTCTGGCACCCCTATAATTCTGATGTTTGTACGCTTGAAGTTGTCCCAGAGGCTCCTTACTCTATCTTTGTATTTTTGGGTTCTTTTTTCATTTTGCTTTTCCGGTTAGGTGTTTTTTGCTTCTTCGCATTTCAAATCTTTGACTTGATTCTTGCGCTCCTCTGGTCTGCTGTTGGGTGTCTGTATAATATTCTTTATTTCAATCAGTATATGCTTAATTTCTAGTTGGTTCTTTATCACAACATCGAGGGTCGCATTAGTTTTCTTGAGGCTCTCATCAAGTTTATCGGCAGTTTCTAGAAAATTATTGAAAGCCCTTAAAAGTGCGTTTTTTAGCTCTATATCCTCCATTTCTGTCATGTCTTTTTGTCTCCGCATTTTTTATGCTTTCTTGGTGCACCCCCTTCTGGTCTTTGTGCGCAGTCTCGTTGTAGTTAAGCCCTGATTGTTTTCGGCAATACTGGGGGTGAATTGACCTCCAGGTTAACTGGCTATGAGAGTCAGCTGTGTCTGCAGTGGGAGAGCTTCTGTGCTGAATCTCTAGGGCGGTGCTAATCTAGCCTTTGCCTGACACTATCCGGCAAATGCCTCTGTGCAGGGCTTGGGCGGGGCGGGTCCCCGGGGATCTACAGGGCGGGAGGAGCAAGCAGTTATGGCTGCTCTCAGTTCCGTACCCAGCAGCTCTGCAACCGCTGCAAACCTCGGAGAGAAAGCTGCCTTCCCACTTCTCCCGTTTGAGTCTGGGTCCCTAGAGACTCGCCTGGATCTGAAGCTCAGAGTCTGAAACTCCCTCCCGATTGAAAACAACAACCGCGCCCTCCGCCACCGGCCCGCTCCACATGCACTTCGCACCTTAGTATTTCACTTCAGCACTGCGCCTCCTCTGAGTCTCGTATGGTTTCCTCTTTCCTCCTAGTTGTAGAACTTCCACTCAGCCAACCTTCCTGTGGTTCTGGATGATGTCTGTTCCGTCTTTTAGTTGTATTTTTGAAGTGGTTGTTCGAGGCAGCAAACTCCGGCGTTAACCTATGCTGCCATCTTGGTTCTCCCCCGTTCCTCTGCCCCGAGCGGAGCCACGGAAAGACGAAAGCTTCCGGGTGGCCGCTGTCTCCCGCACCGTGGCCAGGAGTCAGGCTAGCCCGCAGCAAACTCCTCGGGACACTCTCCCTTGCCTCTCTTGATATCATTGGTTGTTTGTAGTTTGCATTCATCTCCAGGGATCTGTTGCTGGAATTTGTTGGGATTAGTGGCAGTTCAATCGGAGTTTTCTCCTCATACAAATAGTCTCTTACCCTCTTCTACTTCATTCTCTCTTTTTGCTCTTTTTTTTTCTTTTTTTCCCCCTCTTTTTTTCCCAATTTCATTTTTGCACTTCTTTTTTGTTTTTGTTTTTCCTTATTTTTCTTTTCTTTTCCTTTTTCTCTTTTATCTTTTTCTCTTCTTTCCTCCTTATCCCCTAATTCTCTTAATTCGTGTGGTCACCTTTATTGGGGGTTATTAATATCGTGAATATATTTGTGTTCTGTGCCTGGTACGTTGTGCCTTGTTGTGTTGTATTTTGTGCCTTTAAATCAACGCAGCAGATCCAAGCAACAGCAGCCTCCTGATCACCACACCCTCTGTCTGAGGAACAGCAGCTGTACGTGAAGCCTCCCCACACCAGCCAGAAGAGCCACCACAGCTGTGTACAGCACCCACCAGAGGAGCTGCTGCCAACTGAGGAGCAGTTGCTACCGCAACCACCCAAGAAGCAACCACAGCCCAAGGAGCCACTGCCACCCAGGGAGCAGCCACTGAACGACTCAACATCTAGATATGTCAGTGAGATCAAACATGGATAGGCAAAGAAACGCCCAAAGGAAAGAAAAGGAGGACTCGCCAGAAAAGCAGCTAAGTGAGACAGAGGCATGCAACATGAGA